AGTGCTGCCAAACTACATAAACTTAAAATATCGAAAAATATACAGCGCGCGAATTTTAAATGAGAACTTCCGAAAACCTTTCGGTCACAATGTATAAACGAACACATGATAATAAACATATGATTTTAAATACGGTATTGATTTTAATTTTGGATAACTCCTACTAGAAATAGACCAGATCTTTACATTTTTGCATATTTGACAATATATTTCTTAAACTATTAAAGCTAATTAATTTCTTATTAATTAATTTGTTATATAATAGTACTAATTGGAGTATTTTCTATTATTTTAATCAAAAACATTTATTATCTATATTATTAGGTTTAGAATTTCTTACTTAAATAATTTAATTTTTTATTTATAGTTATATAAATATATTTTATTATAAAAATTATTTAATAATATATTTAACTTTAAAAGTTTGCACGTAAGGTATTCCTATCTTAGTTTCAATAATTTATAATATAATATAAATCATAATAATATTCAATCCTTTAGAATATAAATAATATTTATATAAACTATTTTATAACTATTTTTTTGCTTTTATAATGTGATTTAATTTTTTACGGATTAATTTTGTTTATATTTTGAGTATGTATACCTGTATCAATGGAAGAGAAAAAATTAAAATATTTTAAAATTATAACAATTGATTTATAATTAATGTAATATTTATATTAATTTCTTCGATTTTTCCATTTTCCAGTCTGAATATTTTTGCTTGATATTTATTTTTTAGAGGTAGATTTATTCCAACCTATATGTTTACAAGATGGAATTTAATTATTATTTTATTCTTTGTTATTAAGAATTTTTTTATTTCATTGCGAAATTTGGAAATTTAAATTTTTATAATTAGAGTGATTATATATTTAATTATAAGTGATTGTATTTTTCAATAATTTAAGCTTTTTTATATTTATTAGAATTTCTTTAATTGGAGAGATTTTAGTTAGATTAAATTGTTTACGTCAAGTTGATTTAAAATCATTAATAATTGATTCTTCTGTTGTTCATATAGGAATTGTTTTAGCAGGTATTACAAATTTAAAAAATTTAGGAGATGGTGGTGAATATATATTAATAATTGAACATAGATTTTATTTCTCAGATTAATTTTGTTTAGCTAATATTAGATATGAACGGTTAGGAAGACGAAGTTTATTAATCAATAAGGAATTATTAAATTATTAAATGACGGTGTATCATTATCTTCATAATGATTTTTGTTAAGTTCTAGAAATATAGCTGCTCTCAGACAAAACAAAACACTGATCAAACCACACACCTACGAGTATAAAAAAATTCTTAAATTCTCAAAACGTAATTTAAGGTTGATAACAGGTTTCATTATGTGACATTACGGTGTGATATATTACCTTCATAAACTACGATTATCTGCTAATGCGGAATGCAGATTATGCTTGGGAGATGAGGAAACTACTATATATATTCTTTACGACTATTCAGCTTTAACAGAAGAAACTTATTTTATAGTGAATTTCTATTACCAGAACAGATTAAATTTTCTTTAGATTTAGTTCTGGACTTTGTTCACAAAGCTTTAAAGGGCTGTGTGTAATCAATACTGAAATTGGTACAATAGAACTTTTCTGGCCACAGTACCGTCTGTCACGTCCATATTTTTAATATATACATATTAAATGAATAATACTATATATTAATGAAAATTATTTTTATTTGCCAGAGTGAAAATTAATTTTTATAAATACAAGCAGAATCATAATAACATTTTTGATTGAATAAGTTTGAATTGAATAAGATGAATACTTATAAGTCTTGTTTTATTAGTTTTTTCTTTAGTAATTTATTATAGAAAAGAGTATATTAGGATATGTAAAAATTAAACTTAAATTTTAGCAGCAAATAATGGATTGCACACACATATGTACCAATGTTTTAAGGGCATAAAAACATAAATAGTAGAATTCTGAAAACTTCAGAAGTTAATTTAGTTTGTATATTTTATTTATTTTTTTTTTTATAAAAAATGATTATAATTACTATTCAATACATAGGCTCGTTATGCTTCAATTTTAAATTTTGCATCTTCAAGATGCGGGAGAGATTGGAGTGAAATTTGTATTGATTTCGAGTTATTTTGTTCGCTCTGAACTATAGTTGTTGTTATTTTATGTACAAAGGTGCATTTAACAAGAGAGAAATCAAGAAGAGCAACTTATGAGAATATCAAAACAATAAATGTCTGCCAAAATACCAAAAACAGGTTTTTTGGTTTTTTTGATTGATTTTCAGTAGAGGTATTCAGGCAATAGATTAGTTGCATAGTAGATAATCACAACAAAAATTTGCATACAAAAAAGAAACTAAGCAGAGAATCTACTATTTCGGAGATTCTCAGATTAGTGAAAATTTGATTAATAGTGGTGCCAGTGGAAAATTTGATTAATAGTGGAAATTACGCAAAACCTTTCTAGTGAGCAGACGTGTTTTTAAGCCGGTCTCGGAAAAATTTAAATTTTAGTATAAAAACAAGTAAATAACAAGTACTTTTAAAAGAATTACTTTTGTTATTAATACAAAAACAAAAAAAGAACATTTTTGGACAAAAAACAATTCCTAAAAGTTAAAAGTGCATACAATATTAATTTGAAAATAGCGCGCGCTTTTTCGATTTTTGTTGATTTTTGCACAACTTTATTAAAGAAACTCAAATCGCTGACAGAGATAGCAAATTATTTTCTAAAGCTCAAAATAAAAAAAAAGCGAGCAAGCATTCAAACAAAATATCAGTGCGGTTTTGTGTATATATAAACAAAACAAAAAAGTGCTGATAGAGACAGCTAGTAATTTATTGCAAACGTGTTCCAGAAAAGCTGTAACTTGAAGCCCACAATTCATCACAACACAATATAACAAAACACCAAAACCAACACCCTTGCTAACATTGAAATTTGGAATTTAAAGTTATTTATTTTATTAATTATTATTATTTTTAGACCGATTCGAATAGCAAAGAAAGGCAAAGACAAAAATTTTTTTTTTAATTTATTGAAATTTGGCTGACCATACAACGCTGTTTCGAGTATTGCCAAGTACTCTTCATCAGTGGTCTTTGGAAATAATCGAATTTTATTTAATTAGTTTATAGTCCGTATATAATTTGTTTGGTCTGCAAGTGCCAAGCTTAGAACTCGTGCCTGTCAAATTAGAAGCGATGACTAATCGTGTTTATCCACAAGAAGCCAAGGCTGCACAAACTTTCAATGCTCAAGTTCCAGGTTTTATTGTCACTTATTTTTATTTAATTAGTGACACCAACCAAAGCACTTGCCGTGCTTTAAATTAGAACGAGCTTATAAACTACAATATAAGGCTGACAGAGCATGTTAATCCCTTAGCAAGAAATCTCGCACTTCTATCCATTAGTTCCCCCAAAAAACAGCTGATCGCACAGACATTAATGAATATTCAACAGCTTTAAGTAATAACCGCACCTTTCTTTTTAGTAATCTGATAAAGTTGAACCACTTTCTTAAGAAACCACCTAGCATTCACTCCAATGAAACTTAACCGATTAGTCTAAGTGGGGTTCGTGATATAAGGTTTACTTACTTTATTTTATTTTATTTTATACATTGTATAAGTTAACACAAAATAAACATATCCGATGAATTATGTTTAAAAGCTCTCAGGTGAGAGTGTTGTAAAAAGCTCCCTCACATATGAAAGAGTGCAGTTCAATTTTGGCTCTGTAGTGTAAAACATATATTTAATAAAGAAATAAATAATTGATAATTGGTAATAAAATAATTGGCGCCCAACGTATGGCTCGAATAAAAAAAGTTTAAGGGCAATAAATGTTAAATGTGGAAGTAATGCTGAACCAAAATTCAGCTCCAAACACACCGAAGTGAAAAAACACGTTTTGAGCAAATACTGCGTGCGGAAAAGCTTGTCTCAGCACGTTTTTTGTATTTTGTTAAACGCGATATTTAAATTATTAATAATTATAAAAGAAAACAACTAAGTCAATTTAAATTGAAAATGACTATAAATTAGTGGATTGATTTATTTTATAAAAATCCGAACAGAAATAAAAATTGTTGTACAGTGGGAACTGTCCACGAAGAAAGAAACATTTGCATTAACTTTACCTCTTTTTGCATTTCAAAACAACAAACAATTTTTTTATTACAAACAAAAAAGCATTGCAAACGTGCAGCTGAGAGATGATTTAAAATAAAGACAAAAAATATTTAAAGTAATCAACATATAAACAATTTAAAAGAAAATAATTGAAGTGTGCTGGTGGTTTCAAAAGGTACACAGTTGTAATACGAACAAAACATAATATAACATTTGGAGGAACTCAGAGCGCGACCAGTCACTTTCACGACAACAGGAGAATTTTTTTATATTATTCTTAGATATTTAAGATATTTAAATTTACAATTGTATGGCTAGAATTAAATAAATTTTTTGAAATAATATTATTTTTGTATTATTATTGTTGCGATAGCCCTCCCTTGCAAACTCTTTATTAGAAGCCTATTACCAATAGCGGCTCTGCAATAGAAACTTAAACATATACAGGAACGCCATAGAGTTGTTCATAGTGAAAAAATGAATAAAGACCAGCTGAAAGCCGTAATTGAGGCTGCCGTTAGTGGTGCTCTTGCCTCACAGAGGCAAATCTTTGAAAAACAATTAGATGAGTTAAGTAAACGTCTAAATAAAGTTACAGTAAATACCCCGGATGTAGAAATCTATGAGGAAACAAGAATAATCAGTGGAATAAAATGTGAAGAATCACTTGACATTGTCAAATCTCTGCCTGACTTTGAGGGCAGGCAAGAAACTTACGTGTCATGGCGACAAGCGGCTCAC